CAAGACAAAAAACGGAATTTCAATCCAAATTTACGTTGGAAAAGCCCAAGGATTTACATCACAGTCGTAGATGCTACGGCCTTCAACAGGTTCAACCCCAATTTTCACCAAAGCGACAAACTTGCTTCTGTTCCTCAAGTGACATGGTTCGTGATCTTAAAGGTCTCTCCTAGGAGACAGATCGAGTTTCTTCGTCCAATTCCATTCAAAACGGGTCAGTTTCCACTCGTTCCGATACGAAGAAATCGTAATAGTCGAGAATATAGTTCCTTGGTTTAAATTGGACGAACATATAAATGGTAAAGAGGTGGAAAATGGCGAATGCGACCATATTGAGGAGGAGGCGCCGAGAAATTTGACGACGAAACGGAAAAGGTCGACGTCACCAGAAGGACCTGAAAACTGGTTTGGTTTGGCTGTTAACGTCAATCTTTTTATTTGCCCATTTGCACACATCACTCGAGGCTGTACATCTAGGTCCTAGTCCTTTTCTGAGGCGTCACAGAAGGTTCCATGGTTACTTTTCCGTCGTAGTGGATCCATCTTGGGATTTTGTTCTGCCCTACCCGCGTGAGATCTTCTTGGAACGTAATCCATTTATCGATCAACCAGGTTGGAAGTTTGTGGTCCCATTCATTGGCTTCTGTCCAAAGTTCCTGTATGAAAATTTTAGCCCGTATTACAATGGGGGCTAGTCATCAGCCTAGAGGGGTTGCATAATCTTGCGAACTGGGATAGGACCCTTCGTTTGGTAGGTGGGAGATCTACGTAGAATCGGAATTGACATCTTCTCGCTCTTTTGACTTCTTCTACTCCTTCTGTGTCTTTTATGGATTTGCGCAAATGTCCTCTTCCATTCCTTAGGTTTCCCTAACTTCTACTGTTCTGTTATTCAGTTTTGCTGATCTCTCAACCTTTTTTTTAGTTCTTGGTCTTCCGCTGTATCTCTGCCTTATCCCTCAGAATCAATGGCATTGGAGGCTTTAGAAACAAATCTTCCGATCGAATTGGGTTTTCGAATCCCTCGAACTTTTCTTGCGTTTTACTTTCTAGTCTTTTTCTCTTTCTCGATCTTCCGCAGTTATGTCGGATTTTCTATCCCCCTCGCCATCGTTGCAATCCCTGTGCTCTCCGACGTTACCCCAACTGCATAAATTTCTTCAGCTTCCTTATCTTGTCGGTTTATTCGGTTGCTTCGACTTAAATTTGATAACAAGAAATCCAATAGATACCATGGAGCCAACAAGGTAGATGAGGTCAACAAATCATGGAAGCCGTGAATAAAAAACAGGAAAAAAGAAAAGTCTCGTATTCTTTTCATTGTTGTTTACTAAACTTGCTTCGTATATTAGGCTGCTTTGGACCCCTCCGTTATCTACTTCTTCAACGTCTGTTTATTCTTAGTCTGCTTCATCCACTTCGCTATTTTCAGGTTACACGAATTTTTCTCCTCATTGGACTCTAGCGGCTTCCCCGTGTTAACTCGGTTTTTTCTCATCTTCTTTCCTTTCATTGACTCCTTTGATTTCTTTATCATCTTGAGCTTTTCGAGTTTTTGTCCCGTTTCGGGCTGTTTTTATAACTTCTCCTTTGCCTTTTCTGGACTTCGTAATGGCCTTTCTCTATTCTCAGGTCGTGGTGTGCTTCGATATATAAAATTGCTATTGAAAACTTCGTTTCCTTTCGTGTTTGGTACGTTTGGACCTACCTTCCTCAATTTACTTCCCAGGCTAGCTCAGGTAAAAGGAGGAATACGAAATGACAATGACAAGTAGCTATAATGAAGCAAATGTGACACGGATGTACAATCCTGCAGAATTTAATAAACATCCGAATTTCCGTCCAAATATAAAACGCGCGCTTTTTAAATAAGCCAAATTGCAAGCACGAAAGAACAAAATGCAGCAGTTTCTCAGACAATACGCTGTATATTTGTATGTCCATTAATAAATGGAAAATTTTTTAGAAATGGTGAAATTTTGTTTTTAGTATCGGTGTATTGAGCGCAACCTTCGGATTATTGACGTAAATCAAAAACCTGACGCTATATCCGCCATCCCTGCCACTCGTCTCTCTTCGAGTCCGAACACGTGCCTTAAGCTACCTCTTATCTCACATTCTACACGCCTTAATCCCTACTCATGACAAAAGTAACTTTGCGTCCTTCCTATCATAACATTGCGTCACAAATTAACGCGTTAACGATGCAGTATCATTTTTTAATAGATACGTAATTCACCTGAAGAACGAACAGACATGGTGAGGCAAAATTATGGGCACCATTATCCCTTCCTTCCATTCTTCCTTTCTAAACCTTGTTTATAAGTTTATCAGCTCCTCCTCTATACTATATGTGGCGAAAACCCCACTCCTAATTTTTTCTATTTCGTCCCTCCCCGCCACATTTCCTTTCGTCAGTTCTTTAACGGATAACAAAATCTCTTCTCTGCAAGTCCTCTTCCTCTATACCATCTTTATCTTGCTTTCCATGTAGTACCACAATAAAGTACTGTTTTCAGTTATCTATTAGTATCTCCCTCCCACTTATTATATTGTTCTCTTTTTCTTTGTCATCTTCTGAAAGTCCTTTTGTTGCTTTCTCTGATTTCGGTTTCACATTATTTCTGTTTTTTTTCGTTACATTTTTTGTTCTCTCCACTCTATCTTTCCTTTTCTTTCTTTTTCGATAATTGTTCTATATCTGCTTCTCCCTTCTGTACACTCCACCATTCCTTCCTTGTATCCCTCCCTTCCCCTTCAGGGTTATCAACTCCCTGTTTTTGCGTATTTTGCTTTTAGTCCAGGAAATAGAGACTGAAAATGGACCATTTCCTGCAAAACGAGAAGTAGTTCAAATTTTTTTTGCATGTCATGAAAGAATATCTGGTGGTTAAGAATCCAAGTTTTCGACCTCCCACCCCTTGTGCTTCCTCCGTACCACCCTTAAAACCAAAGAAATTTGGTTGGTTTTTTAGTTTTTCGATCATATCTTTTTATAGATTCATTTTACCAAAAAATATTGTTATCATAAATTGTAGACTATAAAATTCTACACAACTCTGATATACACTACTTCTTTATGAAATGTTTATTAAACACGATATAGAGCTTCAGAGTGGCTTATATTTTTAAGAATTCTAAAATTTGTATGTAGATGTTTTAACCAAATTTTATACTTTATCTCTATAATTAAGAGTTTTATGAGAAAATATCTTCAACTTATCGTGGTATAAATCCCCCTACGCTGCACCCTTACCAAAGGGGATGCATAATAGTTCAACCTTCAACCCTTGCTAGTGGGGATATTTGAATCACTGTAAGATTGTAGGGTATTCTAATATACGTTTGAAACAAAAAAATTATCTCACTTCAGTTCAGCTTCATCCTTCAAATCCTTCATCCGCCCCCCGCCCCTCCCCCCAACCGCGGTAGGTATAGATATTTAAAGAGGAATAGAAAACATGTAATAAGCGTTGAACTCTCTGACTAACTTCACAGTCGCCACAAGAGCGTTTAAATATCTATTCCTACCGCGCGGGGGGGAGAGGGGAGGGGGTGAAACTGAACTGGTGAGACAATTTTTTAATTTCAAAAGTATATTAGAAAGCGCTACAATCTCACAGTGATTCAAATATCCTCACTAGCAAGGGTTGCAAGTTTCATTATTATGCATCCCCTTTGGTAAGGGTGCAAGGTAGAGGGATTTATACCACAATAAATTCAAGATATTTTCTCATAAAACTCTTAATTATAGAGATAAAGTATGAAATTTCAGAATTCTTCAAAATATAACCAACTCTCAAGATCTATATCTTTTTTAATAAACATTTCACAAAAAAATTGTGTGTATTAAAGTTCTGTAGAATTTTATGGTCTACAATTTCTGATAACAATATTCTTTTCTAATGTGAACCATTAAAAAGATATGATTGAAAAACTAAGAAACCAACCAAATTTCAGAGGTTTTGGGGGTGGTACGGGGGAAGCACAGGGGTGGGAGGTCGAAAACTTAGATTCTTAACCACCAGATGACTGTTTATGACATGCAAAAGAAATTGGAACTACTTCTCATTTTGCAAGTTAAAACCCTCTATTCCCTGGACTATTTTCCACTTTTCCTCTATGCTCTCTCCTATATCTTGCCTTTTGTAGTTCTATATAGTTATCGCTCTCATTTTACCCCTTCACTTCCCCTTGTCTTTTTTGTATACCTTCCCCCTCTTTCACTTCCTCTCCTCATAGCCTTATCGCTTTTATACTCCTGCTAATGACACCGCCTTTTCCTTTCCTGTTATTTTCCTCTCTGTTCTGACTAGTCCTTTTTCTTTTTTATTCCATCCGTGTTCTTCGTCCTTCTCCACTAAATATCTATATCCCCATCCTACGTTCCTGTCCTCTCCTCTTTCTCGCTCCGCCGCCTTAATTTCCGTCTCCGTCTTAAGTCAACTTGTCATCTATGCATATCCTTTTTTTTGCTCCTCATAATTTCCCTCTTTTCCAATGTTATTTCCGCAAGTTCTAATTTATTTCCCCCATTTCAATTGTTAACGTTCGCCTCCACGTGTAGGTTTACTTTCAGCCAATCCTCCGCGCTTCCTCTCCCTTTTTCTGTTTTCCATCTTTGCTCCTTTTACTGTTATATTGTTCCTTACCTTCTCTCTTTCCTTTCTTTCATTTTCTTCTTTTAGTTTGGTTAGTTTGGTTCCTAATCCCTTTGCTCTTTCCCAATCCTTCCATCCATTTTTCTATCTGTTCTTTTGCCTCATTCTTCCATTACTTTTTCCACGTTTTCCGCTTCTTCTTCCATCAATTCGTTTTCTTTTCCTCTTTAAGTTCCGTGCTCTCTCTCTCTCTCTCTCATTGCTCTCTGTCTACAATTTGCTTTGTTCCGGCGATTTTTTAACTATACGCATGCGTATGGGAGGGGGCGTTTTATTTTGTGCGCTGTGTGGACCTAGGCCAATCTCGGGTCATTAATCTATTACCCAACAGAATTCTGGCGAGAATCGAAATGACCAGAACTAACTTCCGACTCCTGTTTCAGCTATGGTTGCCTAATCTACATCGCAACGCAGGTGTCATCCGGGATGAAGTATTTAGAATCGCTAGACTTAGTTCATAGGGACTTAAGCGCAAGGTAAGTGCCATCGATCGTTTCCGTTTTCTGACCGCTTCCGTTGCAGAAATTGCGTCATAGATAAGGGATTTACAGTTAAGATTTCGGACCACGCGATGTACTGCAGCAACTACGAGCAGGACTACTACGTTAGCGACACGAGGGCCAAACTTCCGATTAGGTGGATGTCTTGGGAAAGTTTGCTGTTGGTAAGTGGGGTGGTTGGGTTGATGGTTTGGTTGAACGTGGAGGTTCCTAGGGTCGGCAGACAACGAAGAGCGACGTGTGGTCGTTCGCGATAACGCTATGGGAGATCTTGATGCTGTGCGTTCAGCAGCCGTACGCGGAGCTGACCAGCGAGCAGGTGGTGGAGAATTGCAACCACTGGTATCAGAACGATGGGTGCCAGCGGTACCTGCCAAGACCGCCGATGTGCCCCCGGGAGATATACGACTTGATGGGCGAATGCTGGAAGCGCAACGCGACCGATCGTCCGCGTTTCGCCGAGATACACCTCTTCTTGCAGCGCAAGAACCTAGGCTACATTCCGGCGCACGTGCAGGCTTAACGTTGTTGAGTTCGCGCTCGAGAGACTTCTAACGAATACGCAGCGGGTGTGAACGCAGATTGAAGGTCACAGAAATTATTTTGTTAATAGAGTCGATCTGCATTCATACAAGACGAGCTGTTACCTTGTTAATAATTTTTAATGTCAAACCTATTGTGATATAACACAAGCACGTATGGAACCATATCTTCAAGCATCCCCAAACCAATTGACCAGTACTGCCAACCTATTTCCTCTACAACCCCTACTGTGCTTCCTACCGAAGATGTTTGTGTACAGGGTTTTCGAGAGTATTGATTTTACGAAGAGAAACTGTCTTATCGCCGCTTAGTAAAATCAATGACGTAGTTAGTTAATTAAAGAGTTCAATTAAGGAATCCTAGTCAAGATTTTACTTAGAAAAGTAAGCGCCCATGCTGTACTGTGTAAAGTCGATTTTATATGTAAATAGATCATTACGTGTTTTAGTTGTGAAGCACCCTAGCTTAAGGAGTTTAAATAAATACCCCCCGTGTGGAGTTGCTTTTTTCGAGAGTATTTAAACTTCTTAGGTGCTAAGTCTCAACCAGTAAACCAATGTGATTCCCCACACGTACAGTCAAACAGTATATACACGGTGTATAATAAAATATATCACAAGTCAATGATATTTTGTAGATGTAAACCCGAAACGAAAATTGTGATCTACAAAAATGGCGAAACGAAAAAAAACAGGTTGGCGTGGGTCTTCCAAAAGGTCCATACAAAATGCAAGCACTTATGTATACAAGCATGATTATTTTAAATATAAAATTGTAATACCTAAACTTAGCTGTAGATATTAATAGTATTTTCTATGAGTATAAGGATTTTCGTCTTACATATTAAGTAAAACCTATTTTGAAGAAAACCATTTTGGTGTAATGCGCTAGTATTAATAAACGTGCGATTTTCCGCCGGACGGCGGAAGGTCTCGCGATGACGTTGTATTAATTCTAATATGGCACGAGACAATCATGTGCAAAAGTAAGTCATTAAAGTGTTAGCACTCAATAGTGTTTAAGTTCAGTATAAGCTTGCATATTAACTAAGAACTAATGTCCTGCACATTCTTGTTAACCATTTCTATTCCAAAAAGCCTTACGTGAATAGTAAAATTCACCTTTACAATTTTTAGGAGAAGGGATATTCCAATTTTGCGTCGGATTCAGTGTGAAATTTTTGCATGTTTAAAAACGTTTTATTCATACATATCAGAAGTAAGTACTTATTTCCAGTGTATATGTTATATGAATGTACTTAAATTGTATATACGTACGTCATTCTTCGTTCCAATTGCAAAACAAAAGTCTTTGTTTTCTTAAAATAAAAAGTTGACTGGCCTAGGATTTATTTTATTGGTACCTACACCTTTTTTGAATTTTACGAATTCTTTACTTCAGTAATAAGAAACCTACCCCTAACGTTCCCAATCAATCTGGACACTGTACAATATATGAAGACATCAGGGTGGATTTTCTTTATTGCTTTCAGTATTTCTTGGTTTGCTGAAAACGTTCTAAATCGTTTGAAATTATCATTTCCAAAATGATACGCCAGCAGAGCTGGGCAATATTCGATCTTGTAAATACTTTTTAGTATTCAACTCCTTTAAAGGATTCAAATACTTCGTAATGAAATACATTTATGGAAGCAGTATTTGTATTTGTAACTCAAATACAAATACAAATATTTAGTATTCGAATACTTCGCATAGTATTTGAATACTTAACCTTCCTTTTTTTTAACAAAAATCGACTACTACAAAATTTCTCGAGAAAACACTTTTTCTTATTAATTTCGGTGCGTAGAATCCAAAACAATTCGTACTTTTTCGATTAGACCTCTCAATAAAAAGTTACGGACAAAAAACAAATGTCGAAAAAAAATTCAAAAGGTTGTAACTTTTGAACTAGTAGCCCAATCTTGGAACTGTTTGAAATTATGATTTCTACAGGCCACATTCTATAAGAAATTTTTTTTCCGGGTCGATCTGAGACAATTTTTTCTTCGGCCCTCAAAAAAAGGCAGTGTATACCTTCCTTTTTTACCAAAAATCGACTACACCAAAATTTCTCGGGAAAACACTTTTTCTTATTAATTTCGGTGCGTAGAATCCGAGGTAGAATCCAAAATAAAACTCGTACTTTTTCGATTAGACCTCTCAATAAAAACTTACGGACAAAAAACAAATTTCGAAAAAAAAATTCAAAAGACTGTAACTTTTGAACTAGTAGCCCAATCTTGGAACTGTTTGAAATTATGGATTCTACAGGCCACATTCTATAAGAAAATTTTTTTCCGGGTCGATCTGAGAATTTTTTTGCGGGCCTCAAAAAAAGGCAGTGTATAAACCTTCCTTTTTTACCAAAAATCGACTACACCAAAATTTCTCGGGAAAACACTTTTTCTTATTAATTTTGGGGCGTAGAATCCAAAACAATTCGTACTTTTTCGATTAGACGGATTAGACCTCTCAATAAAAAGTTACGGACAAAAAACAAATTTCGAAAAAAAATTCAAAAGGCTGTAGCTTTTAAACTAGTAGCCCAATCTTGGAACTGTTTGAAATTATGGATTCTACAGGCCACATTCTATAAGAAATTTTTTTTCCGGGTCGATCTGAGACAATTTTTTTTTCGGCCCTCAAAAAAAGGCAGTGTATAACCTTCCTTTTTTACCAAAAATCGACTACCCCAAAATTTCTCGGGAAAGCACTTTTTCTTATTAACTTTGGGGCGTAGAATCTAAAACAATTCGTACTTTTTCGATTAGACCTCTCAATAAAAAGTTATGGACAAAAAACAAATTTCGAAAAAAATTCAAAAGGCTGTAACTTTTGAACTAGTAGCCCAATCTTGGAACGGTTTGAAATTATGGATTCTACAGGCCACATTCTATAAGAAATGTTTTTTCAGGGTCGATCTGAGACAATTTTTTTTTTGGCCCTCAAAAAAAGGCAGTGTATAACCTTCCTTTTTCACCAAAAATCGACTACCCCAAAATTTTTCGGGAAAGCACTTTTTCTTATTAATTTTGGTGCGTAGAATCCAAAACAATTCGTACTTTTTCGTTTAGACCCCTCAATAAAAAGTTATGGTCGTTATGGACAAAAAACAAATTTCGAAAAAAAATTCAAACGGGTGTAACTTTTGAACTAGTAGCCCAATCTTGGAACTGTTTGAAATTATGGATTCTACAGGCGATCTGAGACAATTTCTTTTTCGGGCCACAAAAAAAGGCAGTGTATAACCTTCCTTTTTTTACCAAAAATCGACTACACCAAAATTTCTCGGGAAAACACTTTTTCTTATTAATTTTGGGGCGTAGAATCACAAACAATTCGTACTTTTTCGATTAGAATTCTCAATAAAAAGTTATAGACAAAAAATTGTAGGAAAATCCCGTAAGAACTAGGAATGATGAACAGATTTCTTGAAAATTACTAAACAGGTTTTCAAGAAAGGCTTAAAAAGAGGTTCACTTGAAAACGAAGTTTTTACAAATATTTTTTTTTCATTAAATGGCTTTTTGGGAATATTTGCGACAAGGTCCCTTAAGAGCTAAGAATCGTCAACAGATTTCTTAAAAATTCCTAAACAGATTTTCAAGAAAACCTTGTGATAGGGGTTTTTACAAAAATATATTGTTAAGATTCTGTAATTAAGTGAATTCTTTGAAATATTCGAAGAAAATTCCAAAACTAAGACCCAACTACAAATTACCTAAACCGGTTTTCAAGAAATCTTTCTACAAAAATTCCAGGAGTTTTCAACATATTTCATGAAGATTTCTAAGCAGGTACGCTAGGAAACAGCTTTTTACAGATTAATATTCTCGAGGATTTTTTAAAAATTATTTTTTTGGAATATTGATAGATAATTTTTCGAGATCTCTTAAGCACGCTTCTTAGACATCCTCACACATTATTAACCTCCATAAAATCTTCTAAAAATCGCTTTTTTTTATTTCAAATTTTTTTAGGAATCTTAGGTTTTCTTAGAAACCTTCAGATGGTTCTTAACTGAAACTTCACCTTCTATAGAACATTCTCCCTAAAACGTTAAGCTTTCTGTCATAAGGTCGCCAAGAAAGTTAGGCAAGACATTGTAAGAGTAATTCAAGTTAAAGAAAAGTCCTTAGGAATTCTTCTGGAAGAAATATGATTAGAATTCTTCCTAGAAAATTCTTTAGGAATCTACTACCATTGCATTAACATGCATTACATTTTAGAAACCTGTTTTTCTAATATTAAAGGTCACTTAAGTGTTGTTTATAGGAATCTGAAGTTTTTTTAATGCACACTTGGAGTTTCTAAGGACTAAATGAAACGAGCTTGGTAAAATACGAAATTAAACTTACGAGGATATTCCCTATCAAGCCAAGACAAGACCGGACGGTTTCTATGCGGAATCCTAAGTTGCATAAGCGGATTCATGTTGTTCTTAAAACTAAGATTCCAAAAAGTGGTCACAGATGGGCAAGGAAGCTCAAGCCGGCCCTGCGCATAATGCTTTGAAATGCCGTTGTTGTAATCTCGTTTTTATTTTATTGTGTTTTCGGGTCTGTGTATATTTAAAAACGTGTTAATTATTTCTGAATGGTGGTTTCTGAGCTAAACCTCACAGCTATTTTCAACCAGATTTTTAAAAAATATTGTTTTTAAAACAATCGTGATAACTATTATTGCAATACTCTTCACTAATTTAAAGAAGTTATTTTATACATGGTGTTACAAAATTCGCACCCACGGAAAATGGCGGTTTAATTCTGAGACAACTGAATAGAAAACCCTATTTATTTTTTTTTTAATTTTTTGAAAATTCAAGCAATATACCTACACGAAATAACAACAGAAATGATAAATAATGCTATTCAACGTGTCCCAACACGTGCAAAAGCATGTTTAGCAGTAAATGGTGGACATTTTGAACAGCTGTTATAGTTTAAATTTATATGTGCCACAATTTCGTTTTATTATTAGTTATTGAATCAAATCAAAAATAATTCCCTTTATTTCTGTCTCATTTTTTTACAGCCTCGTATCTTGAAAGGTACCTATTTATCTGATGGCAAAAAGGTAATAGAGTCTTTAATTCAGTATTGTTTCAGAATTAAGTCACATTGTCCGTGGGTGCGAATCTCGTAACACCCTGTATGTAAAAATTTACCTTTTTATGCCATTAAAAATGAATTTTAAAAGTTTTAAACGGGTTTTTGCATGAAAATTCGACATGGCTCGGTCTCTCTATGGGCCGCTAATATAGTTCCATCTTTAATAGCGACCCTGTATATAGTATATGATATGGTATAACACAAAATATTTCCTTCGGACGATTGGGTTTCCAACTTTTGAAAAAGATGAGCTCCCGGGTATATTAATACACATGGTAATTGATAAAAAGACTCTCCTGTTGTTCTGTTACCAAAGGAAAATGTTTTTAAGGTAACATGGTGATGATATTTTGCATAAAAATGGTAGTTTGTAGGTGATATTTTACGGTGTTCTGATATTCTCCATGGAACTGGTATTAGCATTATCTCGAGCAGTTTGCGAAGCACCGATTTAATTCGATGCGGACGTTGAGAATCTAATCACACTTTCCTCAGATTAACAACGAACCTTAATTGGTATAAACTTGAAAAGATCATCACAGATAATGATAAACTATATATATTTTTAAGTTCTATTGCGCAATTTGTAATCGTAAGGCAAAATATGTGTACTAGGTACCATTGAATGTGAGTAACTCATTGGGATTTCTGTTTTTTCGGTTTTTTGGCGAACAGTTTTGCAACCCCACGCACTATTCTCAGTATCAGTCTTAGTATAAGATATAAAATAAACAATAGCAACGTGAAGAATGAAAGCAAAACGCCGATTACATCCAGAAGTAAGTATTGGTACCACGGTATATCCAATAGAGGACTCCTGAGATGTTTCGCCCCTTTGTGACGTATAACGTATTCTGTCCACCAAACTGCTTTTTCAAGTCCCGTCATCGGTTGATCTTGAGCCAGTGCGGCCAGCTCGATGATCCTCTTCTTGTACCTGAAGCATTTACCGGTTCTTGACCAGAGACCAACCAAAACCCAACGGTTGGGGAATTATATTATACTCACTTTGGGTTTGTTATCACTTCCGAGATAGCAGCCTTAAGATCTTCTTTTCGTAAATTCTTAGGTTCTACGTACAGACCCATTCCCATCTCCGCCATTTTCTCAACATTCCTGTGCTGATCTGCAAAGAATGGCAAGCCGACCATTGGAACGTGATCGTAAATCGCTTCATCCGTCGACTGCAATCCTCCTTGAGTTATGAACAGTTTGATGTTGGGGTGCTCTGGAATGGAAGATGATCATTTACAGTACAAGAAGCGCCGGTATATCTCACTGAGGACGTCCTGTTGCGGAAGCCACTTTTGGATGTGCACGTTACTGGGCTTGTTCTGCAAATCGCTCGCTTCAAATTTCCAGACCACGGTATACGGAAGCTCTCGGAATGTCTCTATGATTACATCGCGAGTTTCATTCGAGAGATCCTTGCTTTTGACATTGGATCCAAGGCTAAAGTACACAAATCCTCGTGTCGCTTCATCAAGAATTCGCTTCAATTCCTAAAGTAGAGTATTAAATTTATTCTTTTCCATGGAGCAGACCCACCTTTGGTAGAGGCTTAGGAGGTGACCTATGAGCTCCCCCTCCCACTTGTATAACAGTAGGAACAAGAGGTCTGATTGGGTGGAAAATGGGATCGGTGTTAACAAACAGCATGGTCACATCCTTGGATATTTCCCCGATTTCGCGATACCCTTCTCCAAAGTGTTTCGCGATTAGCTGGTCATCGTGATTTCCCAAAAAAAGTGGTACGAGTGGTATAATCAACGTGTACAACACACTTATGATCCGCTCTGTCAAAGATAAGGGATACTTAAATGGCAGTATCGAATCCGGATAAAGTACGGGATGCGTCGGGTTACCCAACGCTTGGTACACGTGGAACGGCGGATCGAACGAGTTTATCCCAATAAACGGGCACTTGAACCTCTCGGCGAACGCGAACATCGCCGGCATGAGATTCTCCACGATGACCAAGTCGAACTGAACGCTCCTGTCCTTGATCAATTTCTGAACTGGCGCGTGTTCCAGCTGTTTATGGTTAATCCTTTGCAATCGCGATACGGCCATTTTGATTAGATTAAAAGGATTCTGACTGCTACCCTCGATCGCCTCGTGAAGACCTTCGTTCCAAATTTCGTACGAGAAATGCCAATCGATCTCGGTCAGGTTCGTAAGCTTGGGATCCTTGAGTGGATCGGTCGTCATGGTCGTCACTTTGTGCCCTCGAAGCGATAGCTCCTTCCAGAACTCTTGAAAAACGATCTGATGACTGAAGGAAGGTGTAGGAATTATTCCAAGTATACGTGCTCCACTTCCCACATTAGCGTTTACCAAGACACAAAGAAGCACGTATAACGCCAACATTGTTTCGTCTCGAACTGCTCGCATTCGGGTCCAATAGACATATTTACACGGCACCAACTGGTTTCGATTATCTCCTTATCGAGAGGTGTAATGTTCAAGTTCTCACCATATCTAATTCCATTCAATGCTAATGCGAGTTCTGAAGCACGCAGTTTGAGTTTTTGGAATTTGGACAAGAGTTGCCGAATCCTCTAAAACTATGATGGGATTCGTCAATTTTATTTTGGTGTAGGAATTCGTGCCAACTCGTAGAGGACCTACCAAGACGGTTGCATAAAATACCATATGTATCGTCTTTACAGAGAAGAAAAACATTTTCGAAATGTGATTGACCTTAAAAATGTTTTGAAAATAAAATTTTAGAGAGAAGCTTGGCTTCAAATGGATATAGCATTAGTTATATTTATAACTTGGTACTTTATATGTCTGTGATTTATGATCTCACCTTGAACTTCGTCACATCTGATTGTGGCTTCAGTTTTACAGTGTAAGATATAGTAAAGAACACTTTTTCTGGTCATTATTTCTGTCAGTTGTTTTTTTTGCTTGGTTGAAGAACTTTCTTTCTACCCTATCCTGGTCCTAATCTGTTCAATGGCTTTATCTTTCATTGTGGTGGTCAAGTTTTGAGGACTGTGCAATAAGTAATCCGGAATCTACAGGCCCAAAGCTATAAAAAATATTACGTTTCGAAGGTCCATATGCCACATCTACTTTTCGCTCCATTTAGCTGTGTTCAGAATATATGGTTTGTGACTCTTTTATATTTTACAGACCAACATCCTCGTTTCCCTTGTTTAAACATATTAAATTGCATAATTCATTCTTATTCATTTATCGACGATAACCTTTTATATTCGTATTTATTTGTAGATGGATTTTGTAGAGATCAACTTTTCTTCTGCTTCTGCAACAAACCCCTGCATGGACGGTCTATTATCTTTTTCAAACAAATTCATTTCATTTCTGTTATTCTACGAATTCACCATGTCAGTTTTCGTTCTAGGTTTACTTCCAGCAGAGCTGGGTACTGCTCGCAAGCGTTTCGCTCGAAAAAGAGCTCCGAGCGGAAAAGGCGCTTACGAGCGGCGAGCACTTTTCGAGTCGGCTGCTTGGTGCTCGATACTCGAGCGTTTACATAACGTGCTCGGCGCTCGATCGGTTTTTTCTGCCCGAGAGCGGTTTTTTTTTCGCCTGCGAGCTCTTTCTTCGCTCGCGAGCTCTTTTTCGCTTGTGAGCCCTTTTAACCGTCCTCAAGCGCTGAAGGATTAAGCGCCGCTCGCAAGCGTTTTTTTCCACTCCCGTGCGCTTTTTCCGCTCTTGGGCGTTTTTTCCGCTCACGAGCACTTTTCCCGAGCGCTCGCGATAAACCGCTCGAGCACTTTTAGGAGTGGTTTCGCTTTGAAAAACAGCTCGATGCTTGCGAGCATTTTTTAGACAATTAGAGCGCTCGTCGCTCGAGCGGTTTTTTAGAACGCTCGACCCAGCTCTGACTCCCCAGGTATTTCTTTTGGGTTCCATGGTTTTAGCTATGCATTTTGTGGGTTTCAGGTGATGTTCCACCTGTTGATTCAGTTCTTCAGCGCATCTGTTGCTCTTTGGAGTGTTGATATTGCGCCAATTAGGTTGTGACCTTGAGTAATGATTGTCGTATCATCAGTAAACATACTCAGGAAACAGGAATATCATGCCTATGTATATTAAATAGCAAAGGACCGAGAACCGATCCTTGAGGGACCCCTGTTTTAATATCCTTCTGTCGCTTTGAACTACCACTAGGGAAATGGTCCTAGATTCCTTTAATTTTTGGCAATATTTAGCATAGGAAGATGTGTCAGACGGTCATCAAATTTCGCTGTATTTGGGGGGTGGGGATGGGGGCATGAATTATTTCTTAAGATGGTGTTTTTGAAAGTAAAACGTTGGTGTCATATTTTGCATACGCATACCTTTAGTCGTGCCAAATAAAAATGTTAAAAATGAGGGGGGAAGGAGGCAAAACACACGTTCTGCCCTTCGTTGTATTCTAATGATAATTCTTAATTCCAAACTAAATTCAACTTATAATTGATCTCATCCAAACTGAAATTAGTCTAATTTCGGGAGACGGTTTACGGTGCCAGGTCTCATCGAGATAAATTGGTTTGTGCAAACTCAAGTCTCTTTTTTGAGATTAGTGGGTGACGGTGCATGGAGGGGGGGAGGGTGACACTAATTTTATCATTCATGGTATTCTAATTAAAGGTCTCAACCGTTTTCTACTAACGAGCTTCTTTCTGATTCTTATCAAAAGAGGGGATCCCTCATGGTACTCTAATAAAAGATCTCAACGAAAGGAATTAATTTCTACCAACCACGGTCCTCCTCCTCGAATCCTTATTGTGATCGGATTCCCTTAAATCTCCAGAACGGATTGTCGGAAGAGGGTGCTCACAAAAGGCGATTGGAAAGTCCGGAAGAAATACATATATCCATTGGTGATGTCAAAACATTAAGAGCGAATATCTCGAAAACGGTTTGTCGGAGGAAAGTACTTTCAAAGGCAAAATGAATCAACCTGGTGAAGTCGAAGCAAATTCCTTGACAACGAAGTGTCGGAAATGGTACTTATAAAAGGCAAGTGGAACGCCAGGACGAGACGGCGGCCTTTAAATGTTTATGTGTTAGCGCATTTTCCAACTGATGTTGGAAGGCCATATGAAGGCGAGTTTCTCCACCCGTCGGTCCGTCAGTTCGCACGTCCGTCCGATTAATCTGCGCATGCGCAAACTGCGCAATGTCAACTTTCTTATTTGTGGAGATATTTCCTTAAAATTTTAACCACAGATACTCTAGTAAAGTCAAGCGCAAACTACACAATGTAATAAACTTTCTTATTTTTAGGGTTTTTTATTTCAAATTTTAGCAACAGAAGTTTCTAGTAATGACACGCATATCGCATATTGTAAAAATCAGATCTGCGCATGCGCTAACTGTGCAAGGTCAACTTTCTTACTTATGGAAATATTTTTTTAATGTTAACCAAAGATTCATCTAGTAAAATATCGCACACTTTAAATACCAAGTTACTCGCCTTAATGCGAAAACCTTTTTTTCATTAATCATTGTCCCTAGAGTATAGTGACTTATTGTTTACCCTTTTACCCAATTTTTATGATAGACGGCACAATTTATTCCATCGATGCTGAGTAGACTGGAGAATGGTACAAGGTTTTTATCGAGTTCAGGTTTAAGTATATCCCAATAAACTGGCCCATTGATTAGGCTCATATTCAATAGCACACTAATCCTTGAACACGTAGAGATTGATTGGCGAAGGTTTGACATCACTGTCTCTTTGCGTTCTCGAGTTAGACGAGGAACACAGACGGACAGACGGACAAAACCATCACACAAGGGGAGTTTTTTTTTCTTTCGAATAATTCCCCTAAAACCGAAATCTTTCTATCCACGCAAAAGAAGCGCAGGGTTAATTAATATCTTGGAAGCTCTCCACCATGCGCTCTAGGTAGGTAATTATGCCATTTTAAATGCCTGGTTATCCAAGGGTTGTAGTTGTACGAAGGGTCAGAGATGAAAGGTTATGTATTGAACCACACGCAAATTGCAATCTCGCCATTTCTGTTTAGAAAACAGAAACATTTACCTATTACCCTTTCGACAGATATCTACCAAGATATGTGATGGTTTTGTCAGTCTGTCCGTCTGCTCCTCGTCTAACACGAAAACGAAAAGAGATTACGATGCCAAACTTTCGCCAATCGACTTCTGGGTGTTCAAGGATCATTACTTGCTATTGAATACCTATGAGCCGGATGAAAAGTCTGGTTTCCGTTTCTCTACTGAAATAAATCGTAGGTATGCGATTCTTCGTATCTTGTTCTACTTCTTATTCTTTTCATTTTTAGCAACCAGGAAAAAAAACACACACGCACACTCATAAGATAAATCGTCGAAGTTTGAACTGCTAGATAAAATAAACACAAGCGTATTATAAATAATTACTTGAAAAAAAAGCAGACGATGAAATGAGGAAATAAAAAGAAACGATTTTGGTCTAAAAAATTTAAAACAAGTTGTAAATCAGCATATGCATGATTAAAGCGCATTTTTGGTAACACAGGTCACTATTTTATTAGCAAAGGTTAAAATTATCGATCTCACGAGTAATTTTGGCTGCGTTAAATAATTAATTTTATTTAATTTCAATTGAGGGTACGTCTTTATTTTGTAAAACAAATCACAAAGTAAATAATTAAGTTTTTATACTGGTAGCGCTATCTAACGTTAAAATTATAGCACCTCCGAAAACCATACCTATCGAAATTATTTTCTTAAATTATCGATCTCACAAGTAATCTAACTCAAAATAGACTAGAGCCTGCACATCTACACTATAGCAGAAAGCTTTTAGTGAAAATTTGAAGTCTTTAGCTATTGTAGTTGCTGAGATCTCACCCGGACAGCCGGCCAATCAGCCATAACGAATATAATAGCGTATTTTTTTCAAAAATGCGCTAAAAAGTGAACATTGTCGATATTGGATTGCTATAAAGACAGATTTAGACGAAAATTCGATGAAAAGAATGAAGAATAAAATATTTCAACATCACAAAAACAACAAATTAAAATATACAGTGCGATGGTGGTGTAATGGTCAGCATAGTTGCCTTCCAAGCAGTTGATCCGGGTTCGATTCCCGGCCATCGCAACTTTTTTTTGTAAATCAATGAGATTCGTCCATCTGTCTGATAGTTTAGCAATAGCATAGCAATTGAACAATATAATTTTTACAGTTACGCTCATCCTTTTAGATTTTGCATTCAAGTTACCACAGGCAGTAGGTGTAATAAAATAGGTTTTGTATATTTTCAGATAAAACGATCTCCTAAATTTGCAAAAATCTTGCGATGGCCGGGAATCGAACCCGGATCAACTGCTTGGAAGGCAACTATGCTGACCATTACACCACCATCGCACTGTATATTAAGGGTAGTACAACATTTATAAAAGTTTAAATCCATTCACCTAGGTATGTATTTTGCACCATTTGTAGGTTTCAATTGATTATTTCCCCCAAAGCACCCTGGGGCTAGGGAGAAACAAGTACAATTTTTGGTGTACACCAAAAATTCAAATTCAAATTAATTCACATTCATTCAAATTAATTCACGTTAATTCAACTTAATTCACGTTAATTCAAATTAATTCACGTTAATTCAACTTATTTTAGGTTAATCCAAATGAATTCACAATTCACCTTAGTTCACGTTGATTCAAATTAATTCACGTTAGGTAATTCAAATTAATTCAGAGGTGTGTATGCCAAAAATTCAAAGTTGTTTCCCCCTAGCCCTGGGGTGTTTCCAATAAACCTGCTCTAGTTTATTATTCCTTTCGATGATCTTAACAAGTTCCTAGCGTCTACTTAGGTACGTCAATATCTACATAGTCGTGCTTGTCAAGAATTAAATTACTTTTAGACGGATCAAGGTCTGTGGATTTTGAGTAGTTGCAACTCGAGTTCACCACCTCCTCAGCCCATAGACTGCTTAGAGTACCCTAAAGTTCGCTTCTCTAGGTACCGATAGGGATTTAGAAGCCCCTAATAGGTTTCTGTTAAGTCTTTTTCAATGCCTTTGGGCCTCTGGAATGCCCTAAGTTCTTTTCACTTAGGGATTTTGAAGACCCTAAAGCTTCTCTCAAGTCTTTTCAACTCCGTCTGATTATGTATGGAGCCTCTCCAGTAGGTATCTCACAGGTTACTGATAGGCAGATTTGAAGGCCCTAAAGTGTCCATAAAAACTCCTTAACCATTTTCAACACCTGAGTCTGTAGAACTTCTCCACCAATATCGTAAGTTCCCTTCGCCCAGATATCGTTTCGAAAACCCTAAAGTTTCCGCTACAATTTCCAAACTGTGTCACCACCTTCGGAATACCTTAAGTTCCCTTCACTCAGATATTGATAGGGGTTTTTGAAACCTCCTAATGTTTTTGCTAAGATTGATAAACGCTTTCAACCACATCTGACTTTCAAATGCTTTTAGGAGCCTTAAATGCTCTTATACACTCATTATCTAAGAAAGAAAATAAACCTTCTGAAGACCGTTAGACTCTCAAAAATCATCACAGACTTTGTTCCTAACAAAAAAACCCTAAAGAGCATCTAAAAAAGCGACAAAGAACCTTGGTGTGACCCTAGGGGTTCATTGCATTTGACCCATTTTTAAATTGTTACATGTGGTATATTATGTTAACTGTGCAAAGTTTGAATCGAATCGGTCCACGTCCAAGCGTTTGACAGTTATCGTGTCCACGGACAGACATGCCCTATCGACTCCCCTATAAAGCTTGCATGGCCGCTTAATAAACTGTGTCACAGCTTCTAAAATTGCAGAATGTACAAAGAGAAAAGATTGTCGGCTCTATAAAAAAGCCCCGAAAAATCTCTTGGAGACTTCGAAGCTTTTGGAAACGCTGCGCCCCTTAAAGGGCTCTAAACTATTCGATGCCGGGGTCAATCTTTCCCTCGCCAACAATTTCTAACTTTTTCATCACCTTCCTGAGTATCTTAATTTAATTTTGGATCCTCCTAACGTTTCTAACAATGTGAGTTCGTTTCTAATTGGAAAACCCATAAGTTCCCAATAACTTTTGCAAGGGCTCCTAAAGTTTCCGCTTGAATAGAGAAAAAAGATTATCGGCGCTGAGAGCTTCGAGAAATCTCTTTGGAGACTCTTGTTAGAATTTTATAAAATGCACCACAGACAGACTCTTAAGGACTCATAAAAGTTCATAATAACCACATAAGACACTTAAACACTCTCAAAACGTTTTAATTCTTAGATGTTCTGCGACGACTTTCGCGGGAAACTCGCGCCACCAAAAGTGTTCGGTCTCTCTTGCTTCTGGACTGGGAAACGGCGACCTCAGGAATTCTAAATGTACAATTCCGGTCTTGGCAGTCGCGTCCCGGAAGCCAAAGTGGGTCGCGACTGTCAAAGATCGTAATGGGCAAGCGGTGGGCTCCTAAAACAAACTTACAGCGAAACAGGAATTTCCCTCAGCGGGAACAGTAAATAATCGGATTCGGTAGGAATGTGAAACAATATCCTCCCCTCACGCTCATATTTTCCTTAAACTGCACAACCTGGCCGGTTTAATGCCAGATTTTCATATACAATTAGAAAACTATAATCGATTAATGTGTAATTAACAGACCTAAAACTTAATACAATTGATTTTCTTCCCTGGCAACAAAGATTTCGACCGATACAGCCTCTTATTTTCCTTTCCGGGCGACTCTACCAATTAACCCGACGCCGAACTTAAAAAGCTTATTGATACCGAGTGTTCATTTACAAAGTGATCACTAAAACTAGTAATTTCATAGCGGAAAACAGGTGCTCTGTTACAGTTCTTAAAGATTCTAGAGGCAAACTAAAAGACATTTTTGGAGTCTCAAGCAAAATTTTTAATACATTTTGAGCGTCTACGTGCCTTGTGGACATCTACGGAAGATCTTTGGAAGCTCTTCAGAACTGTTGGTAACCCTTACAGGATCTAAACCATTAAAATACTGCACTTAGACTCTTAAAAGGTATTGAAGGCTATTAATGGGGAAGAAAGCATTGTTTAGAAACCACACACGGCTCTATAAACTTGAATATATTTATTTGATTGAAGGTAAGTACTTAACAATTTCTTCGTGCAGAACAAGTTATAGATCAATAGTCTTTAACATTAAAGCAACAACATTACAAAATAAGTAAAAAATTTGACGCTTTGGTAGGCTCTTTGGCAAAGAATGTCTCACTATATTAAGTAAAATATTAAAATAAACTTTTATCAAAATCTATAAAAATACACATTTCAAAAATGGAACAGTATGTATACTTTCGATTTTAAAGGCAACTTTAAGAGTACAAGGTAGTCTCGATCCAATCGTCAAAAGACAACGTTATCGCCTGGGCACCGCCCTTCGTCTTCCTTTGAAAGGTCTCTGAAATGGGACACGTGAGGCCGATGAGCTGCACAACATGCCTCACCTATCATGGTCTTCAGTTTGAGAGCGCAAAGGATGAACTCGTCGAACGCGATCTCGGCCTTCTTGTTTCCGTAGCGGTGCATCAGGAGGTTGAGGACGTGGGTGTTGAGTAGATAACCGCACGAGTTTAGGGCGTGCCGCAGTTCGAATCCGCTCAAGCTTCCTGAGCTATCCTTGTCGTGCTTGGCGAAGATTTGCTTGAGAGTGTCATTGCAGGTTAGTGCCGGCGAAGTTTGACGAGAGGGGGCGCTTACCTTTGCGTTCTTTATTAGTGACCATAATGACTTGAACTCCTCGAATCCGAGCTTGCCAGAATGGTCTGCATCTAAGAGTGCAACGATGGACTTACAGACGTCCCTGGAAAATCCGTGGTTCGCAGTTTCTGAAAATGTTTGTTGCTTAACGTTACTGTGCCACATTGGAATTCGGGTAAGTAAACAATCTGTGTTTTGATATAGTGTAGTGAAGTGAAGTACTTTTAAGCGATAGCGATAGTTTTAGCATTGTAAGTATAAAGTGCATAAGCAAGAGCACAGAAAAGTTACGTTTGGGCAGTTTTCTCTCAAAAAAGAACTATGCGACAAGATATGGATAGTCTTCCCCCCTCCCCTCTCTTGATATCCATTATCTTCGCTAATTAGGTAAAAAACAAAATAAACCCTCTTTCGATTTCTAATCTGTTCTTCTGTTTGTCCAACCGAATTCTTTGACTTCAACTTCCAAAACCAGTATCCTATTGATTCTCATTCCATTATTTGGCCTGTAAATTCTTCTTCCTTCTCTTCCACTCTTTTATACACACAAATTCACCCTCGCGAAATGTTTCCCCTCGCTCTGGGTCAATTTCTCTCGGAATAATTTTGCCAACGCGAAAAGTTAATTTGTCCTAAAAAATAGCCTATGTAAATTTCCCCCTTCTTCCCAAGGGTTCATGATGCACTATAAATTCGCCCCAAAAATCCCCCCTTGATATAATTGCTTTAAGAAGGAATAATCTTGTAGAAGAACAGCCAACGCGACAAGCTACTTGACCCCTACAAAATTCTTCTCTGAATTATTCCCCTCAATAATATTCTATGCATAAGTACCCCTTTGCACTAGCAAGAATTCAATTCGCATTCAAGAATTCGCCATCGAAATACACGCCCTCTAAATATTTGTGCCCACATATTGGCTAATTCGGCACGAAAAGTTCGCCCTTGAAATATTTGCTCAATTCGAAAAAAAAATTAATGTGGGTCACTTTACGTCAGTAAATTCCCTTTCTGGAACTCGTGGAAACATTCACCCTTGGTCTCGGAAACCACGCCTTCGGAATATTTGTTTTTACATGAACCCCAAGTCGATTTGCCACTATGTCCACGCAAAGTATCCGCCCCAAAGCTCGATGTAACAAAAATTCATGCGCGACAATACGATTCGGTTCAAGTTCTCGCCCTTGGAAAACACGTGATCGGAATATTCCGCCTAAAATTCCTACGCAAATTGTTTCGGCACGATAAATTCGCCTTTGAAATATTTGCTCAATTCGAAAAAAATTTAATGTCGATCACTTTACGTCAGTAAATTCACTTTCCAGAACTCGTGGAAACATTCAACCTTGGCCTCGGGAACCACGCCTTCGGAATATTTGTTTATACATTGTTTATACATGTAAAAAAATTCGTGCGCGACAATACGCCTCGGTTCAAGATCTCGCTCTTGGAGAACACACTTCAGGGTATTCGTCTCACAATTCTGATCCAGCAACTCGTCCTCCAACATAGTTGACCTCGATGCCAGATAAATTCACTGTACGGTATGTTAATTTACCCTGGTAACTTTGCCCCCTAGTATTCGCCGAAATATTCGCCTTGACTATTCACTTCTCACATTTTCTTATCTGATTGTGCAATTGTGTGAAATTTGCGGAGGTTTTTTTATTAACTCAGTCGTGGGTTTTGCGATAAATTTGGTATTTTTGAAGCCAACTATAATTGTGTAACTGTTCTGACTAAAATGAAAAATAAAATTCATTTTCATACAGAGGGGGAAAGATGCAGCATGCTCACAACGTAGGTACAATTACAAACAACATCTAAAAACACTAAACATACCATCACCCTTAGGCGGAGCAGTCTGAACGACAGAAGCAGACACCGGATTAGGCACAATTTCGCTAATAGGAGTATTCTTACAAAGCGGTATACAAAAGAATCCTATTAAAGAATTGGCAACGTTGCTCCCAGAATCGGTCGCCGCACGTCCCGCACTGGCCTCGACATTCCGCACACTAACCTTGCCTAACTGCATTTCTACACCCATAAACATTAATTACGGGTTAAGAACATGCGGTCCGCTAACCAAGCATTACCAAAAAACTTTCGCCAGACATACCTTTTCTAGTCGCAAAGTCCAAAACGTCCTTGAGTTCCTCCCAGTCGATCTCCATATCGTCGCCGGCTAACTGTATGAAATACTGACGCACCTCGTCGACCTTCTCGTCCTGGGCCTGCTTCTCGGGTGTGGCGGACGCCACCTAGGTCGATACAAACATTAAAGAAATGTGCGTTAGGGGTAAGTATCTACAGAGCGCATGCGCGTTAAAAAAAGAGAAAATTCAGCCGGTTATCATGCAACAAAAGCATACCACCGTTATTAGTTTAAATGATCTATACTGGGCTTGTACAGTTAGAAACACCCCCGAGTAGTAAGCAATAAAGTGAGCCTAACTATAATTTACCTTCAGCATAATAAAAACGATTGTCCTCAACACTTCCGGCCGCCTATTTCCGCAAGACGGAATTAAAAACGAGACAAAGCCGCACGTGTAGCACAATATAACACAACCCGCATTGATCACTGAATTTATAACGTTCAATGACTACTTAAAATATGTGATTGACTATATACCTTGTTACCAACCTCTTCCAGTACTACTCTCTGTATTTTTAGACAACATTCGGAATATCAGACAAAATTTAGTGGGCTCCAGTACGTTTTCTACCACTTTCCTGAGTCTCTGGATTCTGGAAAGGGTCTAGAGATCACTAGAAGCTCTATAAGATCTATAAATAAGTAAAGAAGGAATTTTAAAGCTGTTAAAAGTGTCGAGGTTCTGCAACCCGGACAAATATTGTTCATGATGTAAAGAATTTATCTGGACAATTGGGGTCAACGAAATATGTGTCATTTTTACGTCGGGGTTTTCAATGATCTTTTGTTCTCCAATTAGTTACTGCGTCTAGATGTAGTATTACAGTCTCAGCTCATCATGGGGTAAAGATAGGGTGTCAAATTCTGATCTCTCGGTTCAATTGACTGGAATTGACATGAATTCGTTAAAAAAAATGCGAAGACACGAAAGGGAAGACAATGTAACTTCTTCGATTATTATAAAAAAGCAGGAATGTTCACCCCACGCTTTTCAGATAATTTTAAATTGTTTCCACATGAAAAAAGGGTGGTTTACGAGTTTACAGAAAGAGGTTGTAACAAAAGGTGCGAGCTTTGACTACTGCAAAATAATATGTACATGTCTGGAAGCTGTTAACGTTCTTTCATTCCCTCTACACGTTAAAACCCGCTGGGTTCTTTATCGACGTGTCAAATTTGAGACCTGTTTCTACCGATCGATGAAATTCAAAAAGCAAAAAGTTACACTTTTTTTGTCTTTCAAGTTCTCGAAATTGATGCCCTTATCGCAAACTAAATTACTCAACGTCTTAAATAAACGGCGGGTTACAAGGTTACTTCTCGCAAAAGTACGCCGTGTAACCGCGCCGTACAAAAACGGGGAATATAAAAAGAACTCACTGTTGCGACTGGCGCTTTAATTGCAACTGGATCGTCGAACATTCTGAAAAACAAAGAGACGGTTATACACGAAAGAATCGCAGTCGTCTTCGTTTGGAACTTTGTTTTATTGTCCTTAACTTTCTTTTTAGCAACTATCCTAAGTACAGAACACCTTCACCTACACCCAAGAAAAAACAAAAACTTCCAAAAGCGGAGAGAGAGAGAGAAGAGAAAAAATATATAAAAACATTCGATATTTACAAAACAAAACTTACAAACGATAACAATCAACACAAGACAAAAGTGGTATAGAGGAAGAATCCGGCTCGGAGGTAGCTCATGTCTCGGCTAACTAAAGAGACGGTATCACCGCAGCTATACCACTGACAAACTCGTTAATAGTTACTTAAGCGGTAGAGTTAAATACTGCTCTCTTATTTGTACAGCGGAGTACAAAAGAATTGTACCGGCGCTAAGATCAAATTGATCGATTCAAATCACACTGCCTAAAGTTGGGGAATAGTTCAGAATTTGAACCCGTAACCGCCGGGCGGAGGTTGCTGTGGATATTGAGGTTGCTGCGGATATGGAAGTCTGCTTTGATTCGGTTGTACGTAGGACGGAGGTTGGGGGTAATTGGGGTTGGTGTAGTGCTGTTGGTTGGGCGGAGGATAGTACTGGGGCCGCGGATAGTTCGGATTCGTGTACTGCGCTTGGGGGTTGTGGGCGGGAGGTCGCGGACCGGGCTGCTGGAACTGGAAGAAGTTTCGCGCGAAGCCGCTAAAGTCGGAGAGCCGCCCGAGTTAAAGAAGCTGCTGTAGCCGCCCGGATTGAAATTGCTCATGGCGGTGTAGCCGCGCGGAGGGTTGTAATTGTATCTACGACTGTTATGGCCCTGATCGGAACCGTGATCAGAGTCCGCGTCGTGGTCATTATGAGATTGATCGTAACCGTACTCCATGTTGTTCTTCTTCTCCGAGAAGACTCGCAGCAGAAATTCGCCCTCCTCGTTCGGCTCGTAGGTGGAAGGTACGATGCAGTACGTTCCGGGCGGAAGACGAAACCGGCAGGTGACTTCGCGAAGGTTGATGAATGACGGCGACCGCGCCACCGATACATTGTACTTGAAATAGTTTAGGTCCAACGGCTTTGGAACTCTGCTGGGGTCGGAAAGCTGAAAGATTTCCATTAGTTCATCATAAATGGACGAAGTGATCCACTTACATAAAACACCGCGAATCCGATAGATAAAAATTCCACGCCTCTTTGCTTCTTTGACCTTCTATTCTTCTGCAATAGCGCAATGATTACTGTACACTTATTGTCTTCGTCATCGTCATCAATCTCTGTCAATGTAATTCGATATTGTGGATTGTATGGGAAAGTTTCTGGAACAGAACAAAATGATTGTAACCCAGATAACGTTGGATATTCTTAGAATATACGTTCGGGTGGCATATTCCAAGGATATTCAGCAATGAATATAGTGAGAACACACTATTAATATATTCCTTGGTTTTTCGGTATTGAATATTCTGTTAAACCGAGAATACCCAACCGGCCGGCGGTGCACACGGAGCGATCTCAGGCGGCGATGTGTGGCTGACACTTGATCAGAATTTGTTTAAACCCACGAAATCCCGTCTGCAACGACGCGTATCAAGTGAATAAACACTATGGCAATAGTATAATAATAGTTGGCTAGATGTAGGAAGTGCATTGAGAACAACGGTGGCCACGTTGAACACTTGTAAACGTTATTGCTTTTGACTGTCGTTTTCCCTCCTTCCCTCCCATGTCGCTTCCTCGCGCTAACTCGCTCTGCATCGCTCCGCGCGAAACGTCGGTCGGTTGGGTTGCCTACATACAGGCGTGAAATTCCAGAAGATAAATTTGGTTCTGGCTCCCTTATTTTAGATTTCCGACCTCAAGTGTCCTATATCAAAATACTCCCCTAGGCACCCCCTATACGCTCCCAAACGGTGGCAGGTACTATAGGAATCACCCTGTATACAGTAAATAATATCGAAAGACGATTGTTGCTAAAACATATTTTTTCTCTTTTTTTCGTTTTTTTCTTTTTTCTCTCTATAAAAAATATGTTTTAGCACCAATCGTCTTTCGATATTATTTACATTACTTAAACTTATACATTGAGCAATACATAAAACATGGTATATCACCTTTTTGAATATTCCTGGTATATTACAGAAATATTAAATGTTATCTGGGAAATTGTAAATTCATCAATAATTGCGTCAAAAAATGGACATTTTCTTGAGTCCAATCGGCCTACTAAAGCTCTACACTAAAAGTCTGTTATAAATAACTATGATGCCTTTAGAAAATTCTGTGGTGTTAAAAAGGGATGAGGATATGTTCGCTTAAAAAACGTCTATATCCTGAGCCCTTTGAGGCTCTTGTGAACTGATTACAACCCTTAAAAGGTGCTTAGACATTTTTAAGGCTGTTTTAAAAGCCTCTAATGGCTCTTTGAGTCGTATTGTCTACTTCTTGCGTTCATTTTTAAGTGGGCGGGGTGAAGGCTGACCAGACAAACCCGACCAATTATACATTCCCGAACCCCGTTTTGAACCAGGGACCGCACACACAATGTCCTCGTACAGAGGCTGGGAGTTGTTGATTTTTGTACAGGAACTCCTTATCCTGTAACGCTCTCCGGGGACTCGGAGTCCGAAAATTACAATAAAAAATTGCACCTGTACACCACTCTGCAAATATGTTCGTATTAGGCCTTGGTATCTTTTCCCTCGATATCTTCCCTTCCCATTCCCTTCGCCTTACAGAAATATCCGTATTAAAAAAAACCTGCGGAGTGTGAACAAGAGCGCGTGTCCTCAAAGCTTAATTTTAAAAAACCTAACTAATTATAAGATTTATTATTTTATTTGTCGACCGCCTCCTTGCGTGGTAAAATGTCCCAACAAGCTTTGTAAGCTTTTCTTTCTTTCAGGAATGTTGTTTTAATTAATGTCTCTCGGAATAAATTGTTGTCATTCTCGATCAATCAATATTGTGTGTTTATACGAACCCATTCTGCGAATAGAGTTTTTCATGTCTGATTTTCTTTTCGTATCCAAGAATTGTCAGGTTTTAATGAAAATTTGTGTAGTTCATTCTTTGGAATTTTCGAAAGTTGATCGAGGCCACAGAATCTCTCAAACTGAGAAATTGTAAGTCACTTTACGATTTTTTTCTAGCAGAATCATGGAAAAAATTTCAATGTTGAAGTTTGTCCATATTTAGGAACTCTTTTCTTACAAAATCAATAAAAAACTGAGATTTAACATCGCTGCCTCTGTTCGTTCTCGAATTAGACTAGGAACAGACGGGCAGACAGGTGGCCACAATCATCGCATAAGGAAAATTTTTATCACAAATTCCCCTAAAAACCCTAAAACTTCAAAAAGACACTTAAAGTCTCGTGAAGATTTTTGAAAAACTTTGAAGTCTCCAGAGAGCTCTTAAAAACCCTTCAAGGCAGGTCTTCTAAACACTCCTGAGGCGCATTGAGGGTCTTTGAAGACGCGTAAAGACTTTCAACGACTCTAAAAGTGTCGAAAAGCACATTAAAAACCTTGAAACCTCAAAAAGACACTCGAAAACTTTCACAACCTCCACGAAAGTTCTCAAAAACCGTCCAAGGTAGGTCTCATGTTAAGGGTTTTTGGACGCGGAGCCTTTCAACGATTCTTAAAAGGTCTAAAAGAAAAGCTCTTAAAAACACCGTCTTTATCGCGGAACGGTGATAATCCTCCTGTTTTGGTAGCGATAAATTTTTATTAGTTTATTAACATAAAAAAACGTAATTTTATTGGGTTTTTAAAAATTCATTGATTTTTGAATTTAAAAATAAAGATTTTTTAACACCGTCCTTAACTCAGAAAGATGGAAATCTGTTGATATTGGTAGAGACAAATACTTACTTATTTATTGAAATTAAAAAAAAAAACTAATATAATTGGGTTTTTAAAAAAACGTGGATTTTTGAATTTAAAAAATAAAAATTTTTTAATACCGTCTTCTACGTGGAAAGGTAGTAAGTTAATAATTTTGATTTATTTATTAAAACAAAAAACTTAATTTTTATTGGGTCTTTAAAAATTCGTGAATTTTTGGATTTCACCACCGTCTTTAACGCGGAAATGTGGTAGGTGTTGGTAGGAACCTTAAAAAACGTTAATTTTATTGGGTTTTTAAAAATTCGTTCATTTTTTTATTGGAATATTTTGGAAAATGTGCCCAAAGATTTTCTTTAGGGTAATTTTTATTTTACTTTTTTTTTGCTGCGAAGCCAAATTCCAACTGACTATAAAAAGTAGGTAATAATAAAAGTCTCACCTAGAAAGTTTCTGCAACCACCCGAACTGACGCCCCGCACCCACTCCCCTTCAAACACGGACATCTCCCACTGCTTCATGTTCCCCCGACTGATCTCCTCCTCGGTCAACGAATCGGGCGTCAAATTACAGATCTCGACCCGGTCGAAGCGATTTTGAAAATCTTTCAGCGACATCCAAAATTCGCCGTCGTGATCGACCGTAAGGCCCAAATTCGTCTTCTCGTAGTCGGGAATGAAGCGCCACTCCGGCGATCTGCAATGGAAAAAAATTGGGTCATTCTCGCCGGCCTTAAGCCGCGCCACTTACTGATCGCTCCACGGTCCGTTCCATTCGATCTCGTTACCCCACGGATTCCTCAATCTTAAAAGTGGGATTTTTCCTACTGTATTCGGCGTACGAATATCCACGTATTTCACCCTTGTGATGCTGTAAGCGTGGCCGCGAATTAGCCCCTCGGGGGTTTCCGCCTCTAAAACGTGCGGGTCGGGCTGCAATTATAAAATAATAATAGTACATAGCGATCAAAAATGAGTGACCGTCTAATCACTTTTGGAATTTTTGTTTACATGGGAAATCCTACTTAACTTGAACTTTCAAAGGCGACTCGACAGTCACTCATTCTTGATCGCCCGTTATATTAAGTGCTTAATGACACGACGCGTAACGGAGTGTCTTTAAACGTTGCAAGTGCTTTATGGACCAATTATACAGGTGTTTCTTATGGTATTCTTTATTATACCTACCTGCAATGTAACTTAAAAATAAGGGAAATAAAATAAAATCACATTGACTAGAATACAGGTCTAATTAAGTAGGCCGTTTATTCGTAACTCCATTATTGATCAATGTCACTTGACGTTTGATTATAAAAATCACGGTTGAAAAAGATAATACACCGTCCATTCTATGGCTTTTTGCAAAAGCAGAAGAAAAGTTGGTAGGTGCAAAATCCAAATCGAATAAAGTGCTGGCCGACTTCGCACACATTATTATGATTCAGGTATAATAAATAATATTATATTCGTGTCACAAAAAATAAAAAAATATAGGCGAGAACTTAATTAATTAAAACCCACCTCAAGAGAGCAGCCCATTAGGGAGCCCCTTTCGTACGCCTTCAATATTATTTTAAATAAATTCGGTGGACTAGATTTCATTTCGTACATTTCGGTTACACCACCCGTAAAATCTTCCATCGCCTCGCAAGTGGAACCGCCCTTCAGCGCCTCGTACGAACCGTGAAGTCTAAACGAAAACAGTTAGATTGGAATTTATAGACAATGTATACATTACTTTGCATAGGCTTTCTCTAACAAGGCACTCCAGAACTCGTTCTCCTCATTTGAGTGGAGATAGACAAGTTGTCCTCTGTATGTGGGCAACCTGTCGTCAATAACTACGTCTATCCATCTCCCGTACTGCCAAAATCTGCACAATTATATTAAAAATGTGAGTCAATTTGGTGAATGTCGTTATAGGTGCTTATTTAGGGAGTGACTTCAAATCTTTATGACTAGGTAGTTCGTTGGTTACTATGATACCACGTGTGAAGATTTTCCACTATTTTTAAGAATTAACTAAAATATGTTTACACTATGCAATACCTATATCCTAAATTGAGTGTACGGGGGCCGAATCAAAAGTAAGTGTGGCGAATTCTGAACTGGAAAGCTTAAAGATATTGGGTGTGAACTGTGAACGATTCGGTGTAAGCAGAAAACTAGTTCTTTTTACCGTGGATTACCATCACTTAGCTTACCGAAAATGGAAGATGCCGGCGTACTTCTCATCAAAACCCTGATCATCCGGCACTATTTGGAAGAACAGCCTCCTGTACAGGGTCAGGTTGGCGACGGCCGCCAGCAGCCAACAATCGCCGAGTTCGCCCTGCTGCACGTCGAAACGCGAATATCCCTCAACGAAGAGCTGAGGATCGTCGACGATCTCGCCGGGTCTCAGCCACTCGTAGTGGCGATCCGTGCGGCCGTTGTGCGTTAACGAGGAACTGTCGGCCGGAAATTCGGGATCCTCGAACAGCGTTCCGTTATCGACGTGGTAGTCGCGTAACTCGTAGAAATCCTGCACGGCGCCACGGGCCCGTATTCCTGATCCGCTTTCACCTAACTGGAAAAAATAAAAAAATGTTACACGAAAGCAAGACGCAGGTAAATGGCGAAGAAGAAAATGAAGGTATGAGATGATCAAGCATTCGTGTATGTTAATAGTAATGATGGCTGATTATTAGTAAGTAACCTTGAAACCTTGCTGTGGTTGCTGCGGCTGCGCCGCCTCGCCTGTTTAGGACGAAGGCAGGAATTTGAACGTTGGTTTCTTTCACGGTTTGGAAACGTTTCAGAGATCGCGAGAGATGTCCAATTTCAAAGAAACCATAATTATTTTCGGAGTGCGCTCCGATGTTCCCGTATTGATTAAAAATATAATTTTGTAATCAAAGTTTCAAGTTTCAAGTGCTTAGGGTGAGAATTTTGAAAATTGTATGGTTACAGAGACTATGGTTGAAATGTCAGAAAAACTATCATAATTAATACTTGTATGCATTCCGTCCGACTGTCTGTGTGATGGCTCGAGATCTTAGCATAAAGACCAGGGTGTTTTTAAGACAACATCAGGTTCTAACAAAAGGGGATGGAAGAAACGAACGGATTTAGGAAGAAACGAACGGATTTAGTAAGAAACTCTTGTGCAGATAAAGCGCATTTTTTTACCGAAAAAACTTCGTACATTATCGGGTTATAAGGTAGTAGCATGCTATATTTATCCATGTATAATTTCTTGGTAGATGATTAATGGGGAGGGGGCTCTTTAAACATAAAAATTTAAAGGCTGCCTGGCATACATTCAAAATTTCCGCTGCAAGAAGAATCAACCCCTTGAATAAATTCTCCGAAATATTGCATTTTCCCTTTGTAGGTACCTTCCTCCTACATTTTCGAGATATTCTCAATCTCGTTCTCAATTAAGTCTTTAAATCGCCAATAAATGTAATAAATGGTACTTAAGAGGCTTTTAAAGATAAGGTCTCGAAGTGCATGGACAAATTTTTAAATTTGTCGGTGAACATGGCCATAAGAGCCTTTAATATTGTTGAAGAGCCTCAATTTTTAAATTTTTCAAGCCTAATGGGCCTTCTACATTGTATTAAAGCATTTAAAGGCCTTGAAGGCCGGTTGCATTATAATCAAAATCCTACATTATTTGCCAAATCTGAGTCTAAACAAGAATTATGACATTTGATTGGCTGCCTACTGCAATATAAAGCCAATCAAATGTCTTAATACCGGATTAAACAATAATCCTGGATTATTTTTTTGTGCAACTGGCCGTCAGGACTCAAATTTTAAGATGTACTATCAGGCTCTGTAATTCTTCAAAATTAATAGGTTTTTCAGCGTCTCCAAGAGTTTATAACGGCCTTCATGCGTCTTTTACGTACGTAAATAGTCTTTAAGGACTTCAACAGCCTTTCAGAGCCTTGGTACAACTTTGAGTCTTTTAGAAGAGAAAGTTGGAAGCTTTAAAGCCATTCTGCTCGGGTGGTTTTTCAGGGCCTCCGTTGATTTTGAGTTCCTTGGAATCTTTTAAAGATTTTGGTAGTCCTCAAGAGCCAATCATGCAAAAATAGCTTGGTATCAAATACTGCACGCTATAATGTTGCTCCAAGACCTTGATCTATTGATAAAAGGCGCTGGAACAAACAAATAGGTTGGCGGTCATCTAGTAAAACTTTCGAGAATTCGGAAAAAATCGACTTCATTTTTCAAAGTATTATACAGGGTGTCGAGATAAAACACAGACCTAGATAATTCCCTTCTATGTGTTATAGTTTATGAGAAAAAGTAAAGAAGAAGACGTAAAACTGTTGAGAGCGTAGGTACCAAACGAAACGTTTTGGAAAAAATTGTTGCTTTGGTCCTCCATACCATCCACCTCCGCCCCGGATAATCTATAATCCTATACTATCTATACACCCAGTCTTACTAAAATGTTTAAATAAAATTCAACATCAGCAATCGCGCACCTCCGACGCCCTCGCACAATTCCACTCTGATAAGTTGGATGCCGTACGCTTAATTAACCGGATACCGTAGCAAATTAGTGTTGGATTATGTCTTAATCGTAGCGGAAGAGCGTGATAGTATACTCGACGTTGGTGAATAATGGGAAAATGCAGATAAAAGCGAGCTATCTCAAATTATGCGTGGACGAGTTACAAAAACCAATCTCGGAGAAGTTCTAATGAAAATTCATTTCTGGGATATTGCAAATATATTTCTAAATTTATATACGTTAGATTCAGGGTCAGATTTTTTGAAAACAGAAGGCGGCTTTCAAAATCTAAGATATTTAGTAATTTACAGGGCGCCCCATTTTCTAGGGTACCTTCGTATAATTTGTTAAGGATATCAAAAATATAAAATGGTAAATTCAAAAATTAAAAAAACGGCAAATTTCAGGATGACCCTAATTCTCTTACTTAAAAAAGAAGATGCGTATTATAAAAGTTCTTTTATAATAATTATTGAATCATTTGCCGCTTTCAAAATAAGTATACGAACTCAGGTAAAAAAGTTGTCGTACATAAATGAATTATAAATGACACGCTCTGTATATTTTAATTTAAAGAATAAATCACACCAAGGATGATATTAAAAACAGATTCAAGTGATTCAAAAAATATTTTAAATACTTAAAAAAGGGCTCAAGTTATTCAAAAAATACAAAAAATTCCAAAACGACTTTTGGATTCTTTAAAATAGGTTTTGTATGAATGTTGAAGTTTTGAGTGTTATATTTTTGAAAAAAGAATTTAATATGCTGGATTTTTATATAAAAATATACAGGGTGTTCCATTTAAAAAAATTAAATAACTTTATTATCTGACCCCGTACAAAAACATTTTGAAAACAGCAGTTCATTCAACAATGATTTTAAGGAAGTTTCATATAAGGTAAACATGCCCGTACCCCTTTCAAGGGTATTTCTGAGGTTATCGTACCTAATTTTATTTTGTTAAATAGAACGCCCTTTATATTTTAATCTAAAAAGATAGCATATTAGGTTCTCTTCTCAAAAATATAACACTAAAAAATTCAACATTGATTCAAAGAAATTTAAAAAAAGATTTTAGAAAAATTAGCAAAATTCAAAATCTTTTTTGTGTATTTTAAACTAAAAAAAATATAGCGTCATTTTGAAATTGACATTTTTTCCCATATCCCTTAAGCTAGATCATTTTTTACCAAAAAGGAGCATAAGACGGTTATATTACGTTTTTTATAGAACTGATCGTTATGCAACAATTAAAATATCTAATAAGACACTTATGAATACAGAATTGAAGAATATCTCAGAGGTATTTTTTAAAAAAAAGTAAGTGGATTCCCAAGTAAATAAAAATAAAATTATTTTGTTTTAAGAAATTATCACACTCGTACTGTCGTACACCTCCGAGATACTTTTGTTTCAAAAAAGTCAAATTTTGACATGCCTGTTTTTAAAATGGCTAAATATTCGTAATTATTACCTTCAACATAGATTTATTTCACGGTCAATTATTCCTCCAAAGGTGGTTATTTCAAAATAAATCGCACTACTTACTGTGGGTCGAGAAAGTAGCAAATGATTAAAGAAAGGACACCATGCAACTTAATTGTCATTTAAATACAGTTAGAAGCTAATTAGTGGTCACCAGTTAATGACACTTAAAACTATTAGTCATTGATGCACAAGTCGTCAGTAACGGCGTTTGAAAATTATGAGTCGAGCGAGAAAAATTTCCTACACATTCCCGATTCACCAACACTTCATACAAAATTTCCTGTACATTTTCTACAGACATTTTTGAATGACCAAACTCGTTTGAAAAATTTCAATGTCTCGGAAATATATAAAGATTTCAAAATATTCGCTCGCTTAAAAGATGCAAGGGAAAATAAAAAAAAATGTCAATTTTAGAATTACCCTATATTTTCTTAGAAGATACAGAAAAATGAGTATTACAAAAATTTCTTTAAAATGATTGTTGAATAATCTTCTGCTTTCAAAATAAGTATACGAGATCAGGGAGAAAAGTAGTCGGAACTAACCTCATTTTTGTAATTTTAATCTAACATATTCTCTTTTCAAAAATATTACACACCAAGGATATTACAAAAATTCAAATGATTAAAAAAAAATTAAAAAAATATTCAAAAAGGTTAAAGATTGAAAAAAAAATACTTTGGATTTTTTGAATTTTTTAAAATCTTTTTTGAGTTTCCAATCAATGTAAAATTTTTTAACTTATATTTTTGAAAAGAGAATTTAATATGCTGGTTTTTTATACAGGGTTACTGGTAATTGGGTACATTCCTTTGGGGATCTGATAGAACAAGATATAACGAGTAAATTTAACCCTAACATGTATAGTACAAAACGTAATAGGTTTCGAGATATATTTTGATTTTTCGTTTCTCTTAAAAATGTAAGTAAAAATGTATATTAATTTTCAAGGAATGTAGTTTCATTTTTTGTAACTTTTTGCTAGAATATTTATCCAACCATATGGTCATTCGTGTGGATTAAATAGGCCCAAAAGCATTTCGATCGTGTAAAAATTTCAAATAAAAATAATCCTTTGTGAAAATTCTTGAAGGTTATTTGCAAATGAATATCAATGCAGTTTACGTACAAATTATTTCCTTATTGTGTAATAGCTATCTAGTAAGGTACGAATCGTACAAGAAACATTTAACGATTCAGAAAGCAGGGCAATAAAATTGCCATAATTACATAATTTGTTTTTTGTAATAACCAGTTTTTGAAACTGGGAAAGGTTTGCTGTAAAATTTATACCTTGTTAGATAGCTATTACAATAAAGAAGTTTTTAAAGCAATTTGCATGCAAGTTGTATTGGTAAAATTTCTTGATTCTTTGAAATTTCACACTATCCAAAATGTTTCTGTATATTTTTTTATTCTAAACGAAATACCAGTGTTGGACAAGCATTCAATCAAAAAAAGTAAATAACATTTTTTGAAAATGAGATAACGCCCAATAACTTTTTACCTGCCTCCGTATACTTATTTTGAAAACAATCATTTTAAGGAAACTTTTGTAATAG